TCAGATTTCTTTACAGTGGTGCTGATAAGAACCAGGGGTCACAATGTCTACAACACAAATATAGCCATTTTATTTACTATCGCAAACCTACACAAGTTTTCTGAGTTGTTATGTTGATATTGCTAAAATAGTGGTTAAAAAAGTCTTTGAGGACTGTTTTGCCTTACACTCTGCATGAACCTTGACCATGAACAAATACAAAAAAATAAATATTACATTTTATTAACCTAAAATGTAATATACACTTGTCTGAAAAAACTATTGTAAAACAATAGTTAACAGTAGCATATTTATAACTATTTCATGTAATAACTTTCTGTGAGGGAGGTTTTAGAAGCATTAAACTCTTCAGATGTCTGGTTCCTATTACCACCACTGTGAACAAGTCAACAAACAGAGTATTTCACATCAAACTATTCTAAATAACTTTGCTCACATCTTAACCATTTAATTGAAAAATCAGTGGAATCGATAGTATTCCGATGACATCCCAAACGCGCTGCCGCCATTTTGGTAGGCAACATCAAATACATTCAGCAGTGCTGTGGCTGTTTATAATGAGATAACAAAGCCATAACTGATCTGGCAAAGGCAGTAAAATATATTATTTTTGGAACATTTTTTAAATCAGATTTTTAAACTGTATAAACTGATATATTTCAGTGTATGACCTAGATTTTATTTGATTTGTTGCTGCAGTGATAACAAACGAAAACTGAAATCTAAACGGTTGAGATTTCCCACTACACTACTAGTTCCCTGTCCCAAACCACATACTAGCACACTAAATAGTGTGTAAAAATAGTGCATATTCCATTAGAAGTGCACGCATTAGTGTAGTAGGTATAGTACAGAAGTGTATGGTTTGGGACTCTGTGCTGCTTGTTAGCTGCTCAGTAAACCAAGTTTCCAAGGAAAAGTTTGAGGTATTTGTTGATTAGGATGCATTCACTGAGGTAAATTGATGCACATATTGAGGTAAGCTGCTGTCTTTGTATTCACTAACATTTGCATTTCTTTCTATTCAGCTCAGTGTAACTGCAGCACGATCTAAGGTGGAACGGCTGGCGAATAAGAAGCTGACTTAAGCTGTATGTGTGAGAGTTTACTATTTAAGAGCTTTGGCAGTTTTGATAGGCACTTTTATTTGCTTTTACAAAACCTCACGGATTGAAATGTGAACTCTGGAGATGTGCAAGCCATACGCATCCGGTCCACCAATCTAGCTAATCTTCTCGTAACGTTTTCTGGAGACTGCATCTAAAGCATCTACATATCTTTTCATCTTTTTAGTGGTTATTCTGGTCTATTCTGGTTTATTCTATTTTGCTTGTTTTTTTCTACCTGCACAGTTGTAGCTGCAGTAACAGTGATGAGATGAGCTCTATCAGAGCACAGTCAGAGTTACAGCTTGCCTACCAACATGGCAACGTGGTCTTCTTAATGATGCAATTGAATACTATGAATTCCCCTTTAACTGTCTTTGAATCCCAATCCATCCTTCTCTTTGTGTTCGTGGCATGGTACCTGTAAAACCAAAGTAAATAGAGCACAAATGAAAATCATGATCCTGTTACTTTCTTTCCTCTCTTTTCTGTTCTCTGTTGTGCTCCATTTACTCTTTTTTTTTGTTTTTGGTTTTGTTTTTTCAGGCAGGCATTTGATTTCAGTATTGATCTGTTTCGGAGATGATCTCATTGTGATCATAGCAGATTGATCATCTGGGAAGATAAATGACTTGCATGTTGACCTGCAAATCTACAGCTCTTTATTGTCGCATTGGAAGTGTCTAATCGAAGACCCTTTTATCATATTTAGAAAGAAAGAGGCCTCTATGCTTCCTATTTTCCTGACTACTGCTGTGAATTATGTACACTGGGAAATTTGTGCCCTCTTTTAAGTAAGTGTTCTCTTTCAATGCAGAAATGAGACTATTGTGTGATTATTGATTTTGTCCCTGCTGTGGTTGGGAAGAATATGTCACGGTTGCTGAGTGTAGTATTGAACGCAGTGTCATGTATGGCTTTGACACATTCAGCAGGCAGACACAGGGCATAGCTCACAAGACTGGTGCCCAGCTGAGTGCAACATGACTGAACTGGATCAGTCATAGATGAGCCTGGGGCTGGAGCCAGTGACAGACTGCACAATGCGCTGACTGAAACATTATGATAAAATAGAATCTGAATAATGAGAACATAATGAACAGATATCCATTGCCAAGCACTGTCCAGATACGGCCTTAAAGGGGAATTCCACCGATTTTTCAAAATGTATGCATAGTTAAATTATTAAAGATGAAAACAATGCCATTCAGAGTGGTTTGATGTGAAATGCACCATGGTAAAGAAATTTAACAAGTCAAAACAATTCAAAGTGGTGGTGATAGGAACCAGATGTCCAAAGTGTTTAATCTATTTAAAAACTCCCTCAAAGAAAGGTATTACATGATTTGAGTATGACTATGTTGCCTAATGTTTAAGATATTGTTTTATGATGGTTTTCAAAAAAGGTTCTGGCCTAATTTTATTTATTATGTTTTCAGGTTCACCACTATTGTACCATTATCAGCATTACATATGGCCTGACTGAATTATGCAGACATTTTAAAAAATAGAAGGAATTCCCCTTTAAATGATTGCAGTCCTATACTTTTTTCCTGAAAACATGGATGAGTATATTTCTTGATGTGTCCCATGGTAACTGGATATAACAACTGAATATATAACAACTGAAGTGACAAATTGATTAATTTCCCATCCTGAGCCCTTTTTCACTGTTAATTACAATTTGGTGAGGTTTCAAAGCCATGAATTATAAATACACATTGATGAATGTTTTACAAAGGTGCAATGTCTTGTTCTTCTCAAGGGAGTCTTTCATTGTGGCCTCTACAGCCTCCTAATGCCACAGTGAAACTGCACTGCAGGTCTCTGGTGGTCTGTCAGTTGTTTTCTATAATAAGGTCAATAATGTGTTTACTTATTAAAATGCTTGTGTTTATTTGATCTTCGTGTAGTTCTGATAGTGATGACCTTTCTTAGTCTTTGTGTAGTTCTGGTAATAGTGACCTTTCTTAGTCTTTGTGCAGTTCTAGTAGTGGTGACCTTTCTTTACCTTCCTTTGTTCAGAGTTTCATCTTACAGTATAAAGGATGGAAAAGAGCAGTTATTGATTTGAAGTATTTGTGAGATTTGGATTGCTGTCAGTCATTTAACTGTTATTTTGCTTTGCTTCATTAAATTAAATAATTTTCTTTACACAAATAAAGCCAATTAAACTTGTTGCCACATGTAATACAATATTTTTGCAGTATAGCTTCTAGAATATGAATATGAAACTTTCCTTTTGTGCTTGGAACAGTGGGCATGGAGGTGTGAAAACAAAGTTTTGAAATGGTTTGTGTGTTTTTTTCAGAGTTTTTAATGGTATAACATGCAAGCCATTGATTTTACACGTATATCTAAGAGAAGTTTTATATATTGGTACAAAGGAATTTATATATATGTCTATAAGAGCATGCAGAAACAGAAATCTTCAAAACTCAGCTTTAAGCCCTCAGCAGAAGTCTACATTTCCTGTTTCTCCATTCCCTAAATTTACCTCCCTTCTCTCTAGTCATGTACTGGACCTCCTCCTTCTCTCCTCCTTTCACTTCCGCTCATTTTTTCCCTTCACTTGCCTGTCCACACTGCATTATCCTTTCAATGGAGTCAAAGAAAGGACTTTAGCTGCAATTGTGTTCCTTCTGTGTGAAAAGATGGTTCCAAATGTGCAGGCTTCCAATTATAGTACATCCCGCTTAACTGATGGTTATTAATTCCTTCAAACTCATTATGCCATGCAAAATAGGTTTTCCCCATGGGACGAATACTAATGAAGGAGAAACTTCTGTTACCAGCATGGACCTTTTCTGTTGTTTTACACTATATTGCTGTGTTACTGTATGTGGATTTTGGCAATTCTATCTAGACAATGAAGGGCACTGTTTGGCCAAACCCTCTGAGATTCAGCAGCTGGAACTGTGTGGATTTACAAAAACACTCCAGTGAGGAAAACCTTCACACTCAGGCTTAATCGTGTCAAGAAGGCAGATCCTATCCAATCCTTCCTCACCTCTGAGCCAAGGCTTTAGTCCTGGGTGAGAAAATTTGTCCACAAAAGCAATTGCTCTATAACACCACAAACATACTGCTGTTTCCTATCTGCTTTCAGATTTCAAATTTCATAACTTACCATGACAGTTAAAGATATAGTTATTGAACAGAGAAGTCAGTAACTGCATATGAAAATGTAGGCAGCATGACCCAAAAATATACTCCTCCATGCAATGACAATACATAAATGAGTGAATCTTACTCTCCTGCTGCACTGGCTTTACTTTCTCATTAGTGGATAAATCCAAACTAAATGCATGCATTTTGCATGTAACCATTATTTTTCTAGACAATATCTTGACAAAATATTTAAGGAATCACCACAAGTTACAGTGTCAGGCTGTACCCTCCAGAAAGTGTAAGTAAAACATTGAGTCCAGCTTTACTCTGACTTATGGTGAGCCAACAGGGGCAAACCACAGGCTGACCCAAACAAAACACTTCAATCTCTCTGTGTTGTGCCTCACTGCTCCCAGAGGGCTTGATTGATTGAGCTGCCGGCCAATCAGAGCACATCGATCTAAGAGTTCCCCCATCCCCAACTCCGCCAGCACCCATTCATCTAATGCCTGTCAAAAGAATTCACAAGACGATGGCTGTGGTGTAGCCAGCTCCCTTAAACAATACTACTTAAGGTTTCTTTGTGGGTTTTATGACATTCTGTGAGGTAATTTACAAATGCTGTAATACTTTGCTGTTGAATGAGAATTCCAACTATTCACTTATACTTTTGCCTATGAGTATTATTTGGTCTGCAAAAGCATCACTGAAGCTGAATTATAAGATATTGTAGAAAGATTTAATAAAAACATCCTTTTTCTTTGTCTCTCTTCTTTATTCCAGGGGGAATATTTGAATCCATCGAAACTGGTCCATCAGGTGCTGAGGAACTAGCCTTTAAGTTTGCTTTAAATACAATCAACAGAAACAGAACTCTACTGCCAAACACAACACTCACATATGACATCCAAAGGATAAACATCCATGACAGCTTTGAGGCTTCCAGAAAAGGTATGACACTCAAATTGTATCTGTACGGTAAACTGCTGGCTTTTGTTGTGAAACCATATGTGTTGAGAATAAACATGTGATTCAAGCAGTCAAGTGAGTTTTAGAATAATTACATTAACTGTAATTAGTCAAAAAACCCACACATCTGTTGATATCGCATATTGATAAGATTAACTGAAGGGAAACATCACTGGCCGGCTGGTGTGTAAACAAAGAGAATTGATTGGTTTTAGGTAATGAGTCGGTGGCCGTAATGCATAAGCTACAGAAACCCCTGAGACAGGTTCACACGCTGAAATCATCTGTCATTTCTACACCAGGGAAACATCTGAATTCTCTTCTCCTGATTATACACTCCATTAGCACTGCTGCTGTAATTGAGATTCCCCCTCACTATGTTTGTTAAATGATTACAACAGAGCAGTAATAGTTTTTTGTGGCACACACAAAAAAACAGTGATGCCAAATTTGAACTTTTTATTCAGGGACATTAATATAAGAGCATAAGTTAAGAATATTCTAGAAACCCTACCTCTTGTATTTGTCATTTAAAGGGGCACTCCGACCAAAATGAAAAATTTAATCTGTTCTGAACCTACCTACTCACCTCCCATAGCTGTGCCACAATAGTCTCAAGAGTGAGATTTTCTGGTTTAAAGACTGAGAAAACTCCCTTCTGATAATGTATCTTGGAAGGACTTTTTTGGGGGGTGGGGCAGATACATGGGGTGTTTATTTATTTATTTATTTATTTATTTTTCAGCTAGTTGGCTAATGTAAATAGAAGCCAGATAGCTAGAATTCATACTAGAAGGCTGAATATCACATCTGTATTTATTAGCATCTACATCAGTGGTACATTAAAAACACAAAAAAGACACAAATCCTGAATTCTGTGATCAGTGAGCTGAGGGATGTGCTACAGAATGCTGAATACACAACAAATAACATATTAAATGCTAGTTTTAGGTCAGAATGGCCCTCAGTACCTCAGTAACAGAAAGAAAATGCCACACCGTAAAATTCATTTTAGTTTAATTAATTCAAGAATTAAGTCATAGGGCAGCAATAATTGATACATAATTAAATAGCTGACACAAATTATAGATGTCTCTGCTGATTATTTAATTACTGCATTCTTGAGCAAATCATATTTGACCATTACTAAGTGTCATATTCTCTCTCTAGCCTGTGACCAACTCTCTCTGGGAGTAGCGGCCATTTTCGGCCCCTCTCACAGCTCTTCGGCCAATGCGGTTCAGTCCATCTGCAATGCACTGGGGGTGCCACACATTCAAACCAAATGGAAGCACCAAGTTTCAGACAACCGTGACTCATTCTATGTCAGCCTCTACCCGGACTTCTCCTCGCTCAGCAGAGCCATCCTGGACCTGGTGCACTTCTTCAAGTGGAGGATGGTTACTGTAGTGTACGACGACAGCACAGGTGAGAACTTGTCCTTTTGCATTATAGTACTCCATGCTGTCTCCTAAGCAGCCATATTCACTCCCAGCTGTTCCCAGCCAGAGTGTGTCCCAAGCCTAAGCAGCCTGACCTGGGGTGTGGGACTTTACACGATTCCCTGGTCTCCGTCTGGTCTACAGTGTAGCCAAACCCCCAGGCTGACAGGCCCTGTTAGAACAGCAGGCAGCAAGCGCCTCAGCAGTCAGGGTACATATGCCATATGCCAGGGTTCAACTTAGTAGCCAGCAAATGGGAGATTCTGCCAGATTTCCCAGAGTGTTCATTCAAGCTCTCTTCCAGTACTGCCTGTAGCCTACAGCCACTGGCCAGTGCAATGCTGCCACGTATGCACTACAATCCTTTCACGTATGCACTACAATAAGCCCACTTGTTTAGCACTGTGACATTCTGCAGCACTCCAGCCAACTCCCTAAACCATGTCTAGGGGCAGAAATGTAAGGTCCAATTGCCTGTGGCTCTTGTGCTTTGCTGCAGGGATGGAGGTCCTCCTAGCAGAGTCTGAACTTCAAGATAGAATTGATCCCTGTGTTTCTCTTGCTTGGATTAATTAAGGTGAAAATGGACATGGCTGGCTTTCAGTGGGGTTAATAGTGCCTTGATTTTCTGTCACAGGGGGCTAGAAATAAGAGCAAAACACAAACTGAGGGCCAAAATGAGGGCCATTTGTACAGGTGTGTTATAAAACAGGAGGTCTTGTCTTGTTGTTAGAGGGGAAACGATAAAGATGTGCTTGGGCTGTTTCAGGGTTAAGGCCAGCTCTAATTCGACTTTATAAAGCCAGGTTCTTTTTATGTTTACTGCTAAATGAATAGATCATTGGGCATAATGGTTAAACCTGAACAAACGCCCAAACAAGCAAATCAATGGCCATAATGGCTTTTCTCTAATGACTCAACTTTGTAAAGGCAGAAGCAGAATGACAGCAGCAGAGGCAGGGCTGGTCTTAGCTTGCCAACCCAATGCTCTGTCATCCTAGTGGGCTTGCTGAGTTTAAAGTTGGGCGTGCGAAGAAGGGAGTGGGCGCGCAGACCGTGCAGAAACAGGGGAAGGTGGTTCTTTTTTTTCTCCCCTGTGCTCTTCTTTCTGTTCCTCTCTCCCTGATGGCAGGAGAGAATGACAGTTTAACTTCCCAAACCAAGCATATGAGCCCATCTCCATGACAACATCCTCAGCGGCGGGTACAGTTAAGGGAATAGCCAGAATGGAAATGGAGGTTGCAAGTCTCAAAACACAACAATGCCATTCGACATGGCTTGAAATCTGTTTTTCAAAATCCTTCTTTTTTTCCTTGTATTAAGCTGAGGGTTCCTTGGAGAGGAATGCTGTGGTGTATATAACTACAGGCCAGAACAATAAAATAGAATTGGCTGTACAAACATCATTGAAGTATACTTCTCTCCTCAACAGAAAGGTAATTTACTGTGCGCCCACAGCGTGTAATTCCTTTATGGCTATGTGTTTGACCCATATGGCTGACTTTCCTTTTTTTTTTAATTTTATTAGTTTAAAGGTCAGTATGGACTGCAGACCAGAGGCTTTGTTCTCTGAGGACAGAGCGTGAATGCAGCAATCATCATAATGGCGTTTTGGTACTGTAGAAGTGGGTGAAATGTTTTTATATAGAGTATTGTGCATAAGTCAGACGCCCTTCATTTATTCAATTTCCAGTCAAAATGGCCATTAGGTGAAAGTTTGCAGGAGATGTTTCTGAGGAGATTAGATATAAGAATAAGGAAAGGGAAAGGAAAGGAAAACAAGTGAGAAAACTGGAGTTTTTTTGGAAAATTATTAAAAGACATAGAGAAAATAGGACTCTTAACAACCATATAAGAACTAGACCACCAAAACTGTCACCAATTACTTGAATTGTGTGAAGCAGAAAACACAGCCAACTTCTAACTTTGTAGGCATGGAAAAATATCTCTGCAGATTTCTTTGAAAATTTCAAGAGTGGAAGCTGTAATAAAAAACCCCTGTAATAAAGGGTAGACACACTGAAATAAATATATATCATATACACTTATTAGGGCTTCAGTGTAGATTTCTATTGAATATATCATCACTGTGCAAAAAAAAAAATCCAAAATGGTAACTTTACAGGACAAGGCAAAAATAGTCTTAGCGTTCAATATAAGATAATGTAAAGAAGTTTCATTCTATTTAGGAAGCATTTCTATTGGACCATTCATTATGATTTTCTTTTTACAAAATGTAAAGGACAATTGCTGTGTTCAAATGGTGTAAAACATAAAAACTGACATAAATGGAGAAGAAAATGGACAAAATGTTTTGGACAAAGACGATATGTTTTCTACCTTTTCCCTGATGCTGAGAAATGAATAACTTGTTTGTTCTTAATGGCCATTTTGACTGGATATAAAATAATTGAAGGGCAGTCTCTGATTTTTGCACAGTACTGTAGCTATAAATATTTTCCTGTAATGATTGTGGCCGACTGCAAAAAAGTGAGCACTGTCACTTCAGTGAGAACTGCAAAAGGAAAAACACTAGATTTACTGTCCTTGTTTAAGATATTGGCACTTAAGGAAACACATTTGGACCTCTTCTATTGTAACCACTATAATTATACTGAACACTATGCTTGTCCATGAATGTCACCGCTGTGTGTATGTGTGTGTGTGTGTGTGTATGCGCTCACGCCTACGAGTGTGGTGTGTGTTAGCTAAATACACTTCAAAAGTGGGGCGAGAGCTTGAATTGAGACGAGCGCTGCTGGAGCGCACCCAGGGTCTCCTAGGACCCCTTCAGTAATCTGTTTCAATTTGATCTGTGTGAGTGCACCAAACCAGCAGCACCATTCACAGTAATGAAGGAGCTAGCCCATCATACGCTCGGCTAGCGCTCGCAAGATTGTTTAGAGAGTCACACTGCCATTTTTCCTAAGTGGCATGATAATTTAAGACTTCTGCATTCATGCTTTAATAAGTGCTTTGATAATTTGATCTCTAAATGTGCCATTTTCACAAATACACTTAATGACATTTTAATAAAGACTCCCACAATTTGTGTTTCCCCTGTAAATGTGAGCATGCAATAACGTGGTGTTTTAAATCAGCGTATGATTATATGGGTGGTAAAATGATGCTGATTTCTATTACCCTGAAAAGAACTTAATAAAACCAAATGTCCCTGAAAGATGTTCTTACATTGGTGGAAAGATGGTCTAATAAGATGTTTGTGGTTTATGTTAAAAAGACAGCACCTTATGGTAACTGCAGCAGTATAATTGCAGTCTGCGTGGAACTTTGACAAGGTGTTTAAGAGTACACCAGGCATGACGCTGGGACGCAGATGTTCTAGACTTGCTAAATGACTCGTGATTGTGCTTGCTGCACATCCAAGTTTAGAATGTGCCGGGTGCGGAGTCCTCTCTTTACCCTCATCTGTCAGCACTGCAGACTCCTTCCTCTCAGCTTGAGTACTGCTGAATTTAGAAAAGCGATTGAGAAATTACGGAGCGAATGCATGTGCGCATGTGTGTAATTTCCACAAAGTGGAATGCCTCTGCCTTTCGTGCCGGCTATTAAAACCTTTGACCGGAAACTTGTTTTAATCCTCCTGCAATTTGTTCAAGCCGTTTAATTGAACATAAATAAGCCCGCCCATGCAGCAAGGGCTACATTAACCTTGACCTGCTTGTCTGGAGCTCTCTGAGTCACAGGCTGGCTCTCAGTGTCTTTCCTGCATCCCAGAGTGCAACTCTACACCATTGATGCCAAGAGGAAGAGCTGTTCATCATGCACCTCTGACTCCGGCGGGGTAGTTCCTCTGGAGGGGGACTGGAACGCTAGCTCTGTCAAACAGGATGCTGTTTTAAGGACTTTGGCAGGGAACACTTGAGCGATGCAGCCCATCCACAGATATTTATCACAGGCCGTTATGTTTCACGCTCAGGAGACTCCCAGACGGTGTTTCTAATAAACGCTTTGAGTGGATGAAATATTCATGCCGAGTTAAATACGGATCTAGGAGCAGTCGGGAAGCATTAGACACAGTCAATACAGATCAGCACTGACAGTTGCTCTTTTTCTTCTCTGGTCCTGCCATGTTTTTTCTGTGGGCATGCCCCTGCCCGGTGCTACAGAGCGAGGGCAGAGGGGTGAGCAGCCATGACAGAATGGCAGCACAAAAGGGAGAGATGAACAGGCAAACAGGAACCGATGATGTAAGAGAGCGGGAGCAGGTGGAGTCGTTTGCTGACTAACTGCAGAGCTCTGATCTCTGCCGTCTTAGTGGGTACCACTCTGTCTATCCTACACAGTATAAATCAGAGATTGGACATGAACGCAGCGTAAGAGAATTTAGCCTCCACTGTGATTTTTAGTATTAGATAAATATAGGATTGAATTGGATGTTCAGCTCTAACAGCTGACTGTATTCACATGTATAGCCCTGTAAACACACCTTCAGAATGTGATGTCCAAGACACATGACAAGAAATCATAAGAACATATATACTGTAGACATTTTACTCATATTCGTGAAAGATAGACTTATTCGGAAAAAGAATAGCTAAATACACTGTATATCCAACAGCTTGTAGACACCCTTCGTAATTAGTGAATTCAACTACTTTAAGCTGCACCCTCTGCTAACACAGGTGATCAGTTACACAACTTGTGTAATCTCAATAGAAAAGCAGTGCCAAATAGCACATGAATCTAAGGTCATCATGCCCAATTCCAGTCATCATCTAGAGAGGTATAAATCTCACCAGTATTGGGCTGTGAACAGTGTAACTGTGTTCTCTGAAGACAAGGAGCTCCATCCTATATCTATGAGTTGGAGTGGCGTTTGTGATCCAGCACATCCAACATCTGTACCTGACCTTTCTAATGCTCTTGTGGCCAGAAGAGTAGAAGCTGTTATTGCAGCAAAGGGGCACAAACTCCATATTAATAGTCTTCATTTCAGAAGAAACTTTGGATGAGCAAGTGTCTGACTGGACATACTTCTTGTATTTACTCTCTAAAGACGTGTATCAGGAATTATGGAAATAGAAGAGCACTTTGAAATTTCAATCACCCTTATTTTAGAAGGGACTATATCCTTATTTTTTATGTATATTTTGTTTATTTTATGAGGTCTACCTGTGACATTTGTGTGATTTTATGTACCAAAAACACAAAACAGAAAAAAAAAACCAAGAGAACAGGTAGGGCTAAACTGCTATAGACTGAATAAGCGCAAATATGTAAAAATAAAAGTTTTCATGACATCACAAAAACAGTGAATTCAGAATGGGCTTTTTGGGCAGCTTAGTTTAATAATGCTTACATACCAAACACTTTTCCTTCAAAAAAGCAAGAGACTATTGTTTTTCCATAATATGGGCCTTTCAAGAGTGTATGCTACCTCTAAGTGTACACAGGGAGTCTAATTATTAGCTGAACTGTTACTGAATATCCACATGTCTGCTGTGCTCAATGTCCTGTGGTCAGCTTGCAGCACTGCTGGGGGTTACCATCGACAGCTGGAGACAGGGTGATGTTGACGAAGAGCTAATTTCAAAATTGTTGTGTCTGTACTGGAGAAAAGGACTGGCTATGAACTGGCCTTCTCCCAAAGGATAAATGTAGGCTGTATATAAGGAGAAAACACTGCAACAGTACAGCGATGTTGCTGAATCACTGGCCGTATGTCTAGCTGTAGGGAGAGGGCGCGTATAGTATCACACTTATTCTACTGTGCCGCATGACCTTCATAGTTATCAAGTCTTGAACTCCCTCAGAAGCCTTGCCTAAGCCTATTGGGCTCACACTCTGATGCTAGTAAGATGCCTCGCAATATAATGAAATAAAACGCCTCATGATGTGAAGTAAGCAAGTGTGACAGCATTCTTAGGGCAATCCAGCCATCACCAGTTGTTCTGCTGATAACAAGGCGGCATGCTGAGAATGATTCAGAAAGCTTTATGACGTTCCTGTACTTTGGAATTCTCCACATCTTTCCGCTGCACTTAGGAGTGACACTTGATTGACAGGAGGGTTCTGCAGTAGTAGTAGAAAGTATTGAGCAGAGGGAGGACAGAGAGAGAGAGAAAGAGAAAGAGAGAGAGAGAGAGAGAGAGAGATAGAGAGAGAGAATATACAGTGTGACAGTGTAAGTTCAGAGAGGGATAGATTTCATTAAAATTAGACTGACATTACACATCTATTCATAGGGCTTCCTTATCTCCTTCTAATTAAAGCCAAGGGAATCAAATGAATGCAGGGTATAACTTCAATTATCCTAGATACATATTTGTAATGTGTGTGTTGAAATAGAATTTGCACCGCTGCCGTCTCTAAATGATACTTTATATTTTTCTGAAGACTGTGCCAATTTCTGTTATGTATTTACCATCTCAGCTCTCACTCTCAAACTTTGATTGTGTTTGTAATACTGTTACTAATGATCTCTATCACTCTCTCTCTCTCTGTCTCTCAGGTCTGATTCGGTTACAGGAGCTCATTAAGGCGCCCTCTCGTTACAATATCCGGTTAAAAATCCGACAGCTGCCAGCAGAGACAAAAGATGCCAAGCCGCTTCTTAAGGAGATGAAGAGAGGAAAAGAGTTCCATGTGATCTTTGACTGTGGCCATGAGATGGCTGCTGGCATTCTCAAACAGGTGAGATACAACAATACAGAAAAAAAAAAAAAGTTCCTCGATGCAGTGATATCAATGAAATATTCCTTTTCTTTTCATGCTATTCCTAAATTTAGGAATTTTTCAATATGCAGATTTCCACTTCTCTCTCACAAGACCATATTTTATGTTATGGTTTGTGTATGTGCTTCCGTACGCAAACTGCTTTATTGTTCTGAGGTTTTTGTTTCAGCCATGCAAAGGAGAGAGTTAACAGCTCAAAGTCTATCTCATCAGACAGTGTTCATGTTTCTCTGGCTCACAGCATGATCAAATATTAAAGATACCATGATTCACTTTGACTTAAATGCTTTTAATCAATTTCAGACTGCTGGATTGGTAATGAAGGTCAAGGGTACTCGTCATCAGTGGTCTGTAATATATGTTTCTCTAATGAAAAATAATGAGGTAGTATACTGGCTTCTCCTAAAACATTCTCTGGCAATTACTTACCTATTTTATTTCCAATTTCAGACTACAAGTTCCTATTATAAGTCTCTCTCCTTTCATATACCCTGACCAATGTGAAAGTCAGCGAGTCCTGAGGCCCTGAGATGCTCTTCCTCTGAGGCAAAATGTGCTGCTGGTCATACAGCATTGTTCTCAGCATGCTTGGAGGACACTGTTAAGGGCTTTACTCTGCTGTGTCCACTAAGCAAGCACCAAACTGGCAGCACACACAGAGGAACCCTGCCATCCAACCTTTCAAATGAGAATTTGGCCAGTTGTATTTTCTGGGAGTCTGTCCAAAGATGGCACATGGTACAGTTGGTTGTAGGTATAGCTAAACAGTGTCTTCAGTAAGTGAGCCATAATTGGAATTTTAAGCAGGATATGAGTTCTGCAATTCTTTTCTTCTTCACAAGCGACTTTCAAATATGCTTAGACACCTGAATTATTGTTCCACAGCCATATGGCTCAAAAAGAGAGATGCTCAAACTATTAGATGATAGTATTACATTTTAGGGTCTAGGAATTATTTTTTTATTTTGATTGTAAATGCAGTGTGGAGTGTATAACTACACAATATACTAAATGTATTGTTTTCAGTACAATTTTAGACAAAAAGTTGCTCTTAAAAATAAAGGTGTCAAATGTAAACAAAAAGGTGTGATGCCATAAAACAGAGATTTTTATATCTGGTCCAGAATCTAGTTCCAGTTCCTAGAGTCATATGTACCTACCAGGCCACTTTTGGTTACCTAAAGAACAAGGGTTCCCAATCTCAGTCCTGGTGACTCATGTTCTACACATGTTGGTGTTTTCTCTACTCTATACACCTAACCCTGCCCACAAGGAGAACATCAGTTGAATCACGTGTGCTAAATGAGAAAAAGTACAGTAATGTGCATAGTGTGGGATCGCCAGGACTTTTCAGTGGATTGTTCTGTATAGAAGCATTTTTGTAAATGTATGAAGGGAGTATAAAAAAATATGAAGAAAAGTTTTAAGGGCCCATGTGCCATTTTTTTTCTCTCTAACGGGCCACTTATGATGTTCATGTGATTTTATGTGCCAAAAATAGTTTTCCAACTTCTCTGTATTCTTAAGACTTAAACAGGCTGTTTTGGTTACTGTGCCTTTAAGAGTGATGTATGTAAATGACATCTGTTCTAATTGCCTTGTATTGTGCCCCATTCAAAAAGCAGCCTGAACTGAAACACTCCTTGTAACGTCAAAAAGAATTGGCAGAGCTAAATTGCTGTAGGCTGATCGCCTTGCAGCCTTAGATGTATTTTTTTTTCTCTAGAATGTCAAGACAAGTTGTGTGCCGTGACAATAGTTCTGAATATCGGTGGCGTAACGTGAAAGAGGCAGCCAAAAATGTGTGCTGCTCATGTCGGAGTTCAGGCCAGGGGTGAATGCTGGGTAAATCTGAAATTCTATGGCTGAAAGAGTGCTATTGTAAGTCAAATTCACACCAAGCGGATACTAGACGGTTTGCCTCTGCTTTGGTTTGAGTGCGGCTTTCTGATCATTGTGAAAATGTTTTTCCTCCGCCGGGCTGAAAATGTCTCCTGGAGGCTTTCCAGTCCACCTGGACACTTAGCCACCCGACACCAGCTGCAATTACTGCCCTGACCCCAAGCCATTCTAATCGCCCTCTCCACTCCCCCGCTACAATAATAATCTGTGATTCATAATCAGTTCAGAGCTCAGCACACCCTAGCCCCTGTAGCACTAACACTCACCTGCTCGGCTGTGAGCGCTGGCTTGCACCGTGTGGCATGGAGCCAGACCAGCTGATGGCGGTGCTCACTGCACACTGACACAGGCCAGCATCACATCTACTTCAGCAGCAGCAGCAGCGAGCGCACCACTACATTTCTATTTGTGGTGGTACGAAAGCAGGAGGGCAGCATTAGCTCACTGGTGTGGTCAGCGTGGCCGGTCCAGCCAGATGCTCTTTCCGAGCGTAGGCTCCTGAATTTTTCATGCGGCCCCCGAGAGGCACACTGATGGAGTGAAAGACTGAAACAGATCGACACTTGAGCTCGACGATCGTCGCTGTATCGTTCCACAACACAACAGCTTGGCCCACAAACTAATTAGCGTTATGGATTGAGCCATCTATCAGTCTGTGAGGGATGCTAGGAGAATACAGGTTTGGGTTAGAGAGTAAACCTGAGAGCTCGTTATCGTTATGGAGACATACGGTGGAAGAGCCAAATCAAATCCCATCTGCTCTGTTGTTAGATTACTCAGTGCCCCTAGCCTCCAGCTGTAAATGGGAAATCAACACTCATACCTCAATGCGTCCCAGGAGCGCTACTCCGGAAGTGTGCAGCCTTTCCTTTTGATGTTGCTAGCTTTGGTAATTTCAGGGAATGATATTCATACTATTCTGATGATGTCACGCAGTCTATTAGCAGTCTGTTCTAGCCACTATTTTGATAGTTAACTTAATATTTAGTATGGAGAGTGGCAGTTTGTTATGAGATAACAAAGCCTTAACGGATCCAGCAAAGAGGGTAAAATGCATTTTTTTTGGAACACTTTTTAAAACTTTTTAAAGCATATTAACCAATATATGTGAATTTTTTAGAATTAAGTGATATATTGTATTTGATTTGTTGCTGTAGTGATAACAAACAAAAGCTTGAATTTAAACAGCTGAGATTTCTTACTGCATTATTATTGCTGCTTTGTTGAGGTAAATTAATGCATTTATTTAGGTAAGCTGATGTTGGCTTTGTATTCGTCAGCTTCTTGTTTGAAATTTGTTATACGTTTAAGACACCTTAATGTAACTGCAGCACCATTTAAGGTGGAACTGAAAATTCGAATAAGAAGCTGGCGAGTGAGAAGCTAACTTCAGCTTTATATTTATGTATGAGTTTATTATTGAAGAGCAGTTTTGGTAGCCACTTTTATTGGTTTTTGTACAATTTTCTGGAAACTGCATCTAAAGTCTCTACATATCTTTTCATGTTTTTCATGGTCATCCTAGTGTATTTTGCTTGGTCTTCATCCATGTGCAGGGTTGTAGTTGCAATGTTGAGCAATGTTACAGCACAGTTAGGGTTACTCGCCTAACAAGATGACGATGGGGCGTTCTTAATGACGTAATCGAATACTGTGAACAGTGGAGAGAGAGGAACTTTTCTCCAAAAGTCTGATGAAACAGCACACTTAAGCCTTCTGGGATGATTCTGTCTTGGTTTATGCTCCAAAATATAACTGAAGAAAAGTGTTATTTCCTCCTCGTCTTTTTCATCTGTTTTAGATTTCTGTTAATGTTACTGTTGCTTTTTATTTTAATTATACATGTCTTTAAATATTGTTATTAATGAAATATCTCTCGCTCTCTCTCTCTCTCTCTCTCTCTCTCTCTCAGGCTCTAGCCATGGGAATGATGACAGAGTATTACCACTACATTTTTACCACACTGGTAAGAAGCAATGCATTTTTCCCATTGGCATAAGCATAAATATCAGAACCAGAGTCATCATTTATTACACTCAAATTAATATTTGTAACAATGCAAAGAAAATTTCCAGTTCACATGAACAAAAGCGATATTGTACATAAAACATTTGACGTAAATGTTCTGCCATGTTGACCTTTTTACAGCGACAGCACAAAACAAAACCTTCTATCTCCAAAATTGTAACTTTTCAGGACAGGGAACAACATTCTTAGTTTTTTATGAAAATTAATATAATAAGATTTATTCCCAAGTAATTTTGGACCAGTTTTATTGATCCATTTTTGAACTTTCGCACAATGCAAAGGGCAACTGGAGCTTTCAAATTATATATTTAAAAAAGTAAAAAAAAAAAACACCTAAATTGTTATACAAGGCTTTGGCACCACAGCAATAAATTATAATAATCTGTTAAGTCAAGAACAAAAAGATTGTTTAATAGTTTATATCACAGTGCTGATGGTCTGTGTGTATATGTGATTGTGTGTACAAAGCCTTGCAAAAGTTTTCAACCCCCTTAAAAGTCATCAGATTCATGTGGATTACAAATTACACGTTAATATTTTGTACTGTGTCATATTTCACTCGACTGACTGACCCTCAAAATTAATGAATTTATAGTATTTGGTTTCATTTAAGAAAACATGCTGTGACAAAATTACTAAATGGAAAATGCTGTTTGCATAAGTAAGTATACAAAGATTAAAGGTACTGCCCTAACGAGGACATAACAAGCTTACAATTGGCCTCTATCTGTGGATCATTAAAAAAGTTCATCGATTTAGAATGAAAGACCACCTTAATTCAAGTATCATTGGTCAGACTGTGAATCTAAAGAAAATCTGTGAAGATGAAGACCAAAGAGCATTCTAAGGAAAACATGTAAAGTTAGTAACATGCACAAGGCAGGAATAAGCTAAAAAATAATATACAAGTGTTTGGTTATCTCAGTGAGCACTGCTGGATCAATTGTGCGGAAATAGAAGCTGCATAAAACCACCCAGGCACTGCAGAGACAAGCCGTCCCTCAAAACTCGAGCAAAAAAAAAGGACTTGTGAAGGAAGCCACAAAAAGGCCAACAGTCACTCAAAAGGAGCTACAGAGTTCAGTAGCTGAGACTGGAGTAAAGGTGCACTAAAGGTGTCAATGATATCGAGAGCTCTGCATACAACTGATAGTAGGTTAGATAAGATTTTGTGATCAGATGAGACAAAAAATAGGGTTTTTTTTTTTGCCAAAATTCAAAAATGCTGTGTGTGGCACAAACCTAACACTGCTCATTCCTCAACGAACACCATTCCAACAGTGAAGTATGGGGGTGACAGCATCACATTGTACAGATGCTTCTCCTTAGCGTGGACTGAAGGATGGATACAGGAATATACTGCAAGACAAACTTCTTCAGTCTGCTGAAAAATAAAGCTTGAGAGAAACTTCACCTTTCAGCAGGGTAATGATCCCAAGCACAATGCCAGAGCAACACAGGAGTGGTTGAACAACAAAAAGGTGAATGTCCTACATGAGTAAAGTGAAAGTCTGGATCTCAATGAAATCAGGAATCTGTGGTGCTATTTGAAAATTGCACTCCATAAGCATCATCCAACCAACCTGAACAACCTGAAGCAAATCTGTCTGAAAGAGTGGGTGAAAATCTCTTTCAAACAATGTGCAAAGCTGGTAGAAACTTACTCCAATACACTTAAAGCTGTTATTGCAGCAAAAGCTGAAATACTGGTCTGAAGTACTAGTTTGAATACTAATGCAAACAGCATTTTTCAGTTTTAAATTTTTTTTTGAAAGATCTACTGACAAATAATTATTATTTGAGGAAAACTGAAAATTGACTTTAAGATCATGTTGGTTTGCAATATTTGTACCGTATATGTATTTTTATGTATCTTCTCTCTTAAACTCACAAATGGCAATAAAGAATTGAACTCTTAGAATTATTATTTGCATTAATGTTGTAGCTGTAGTAGTGATATTAGTAGTAGTACACTGACTGTTTGCAAACTACTCAGCAAGTATATTACAGGGGCTTTAAATATGTATAAAAATAAATATTAAATTAGGCAAGTAAATAAAATGAAACAATTAGACAAGATAAAGAAAATGTATAAATGTCAAAACTAAACGCACACACACATACACACACATCTTCTAAGCCGCTTATCCTTCCAGGTCGCGGGGGTAGCTCTAGCCTATCCCAGCAGTCATTGGGTGGAAGGCAGGATAGAATCTGGACAGGTCAAAACTAAATGCCAAAAACATCTAAAAATCTAATACATCTAATACATCTAAAACAAGCAATGAACACATAGTAAAATGCATGAAAATCAGATCTGAAAGCAGCAGAGTCAAAACAATCAAACCAAACATTAAAGTTATTACCTGCATACATCTGTGTAATGTCTCCTGTTGATGTACTTTGAAATAGTTCTACAGGTGCATCTGTCATAATATCTGTTGACATTTACAGTTAGCAAAAACAAAGTGCATAATAGTCTATTGTTCTTCTCAAAAATTGATTTGAATATAACTGATGAATGACTGACACCACTGATGAGAACACTAGAAGAGAGATGAGCAGAGAGAGAAAGAGATTAGAGAGAGCTGTGCTGACACTCAGTGCTTGTATAACTGACATGGCCCTTGGCCTAGTTCAGAGGGTTCTTCCCTTGCTGAGATTTTGACAAGTGCTCTTTTGCTCCCCTTCTCCTCTCTTATTATTATCCCTCCTCTCTCTCTTCCTCTCTCTCTCTCTCTCTCCTTCACATTTTCAGGACTTAGACATTATTAAAATTACATTTTTATTAAGTCCATATCTCACATACATCAGTGAGTAGTCTACACCCCTCCCTTTCCCTCCGCTGCCCGTTTTCCAACGAATTAAAAAGCTCTGAGCCCTCGATTCTGCTCCTCAACTTTGCACTGATTATGATATGTATCCTCAGGAAAGAAAGTACAGTACATTTACCTGCTGAGAAATAGCATATTTTATTTCATTTTCAATGCAGTGCATGCTAGCCGAAAGAAATTTCTCAGATGCGTATGGAGAGGCTCATTTAAGAGAGAAAAAGAAGAAGAAGAATTAAAGATGTCTGAAGTTCCAATAATTAGTTTTGCCAATAGAGAGGCTGGCAGATAGAAAACTCAGCACTGTGAGCTTAATTCACCCAACAGAGTGAACAACCGTGCCACTGAGAGGGTACATATGGCCTCCATTTTCTGCCAGATTTCCTTCTCCTAACTGCAGTCAGACGGTGAGCGTGCGTGTATGTTTGTGTGTAAGAAGACAAGAAGAGAGATCTTTATATTATACAAAGCGTTACATAATAATGTCCTAGTGCAAAATAGCAATTTCTATATTGTTTGGTTTTATTTTTAACATTTTAATATGTTTAAAAAGTGCCTTAATGGCATTAAGATGAAGTTTTGTTTTTCTCCTTTTTTCTTTCAGGACCTCTTTGCACTGGATGTGGAGCCGTACCGCTACAGCGGGGTAAATATGTCAGGATTCCGCATCCTAAACACAGAGAATAGCCAGGTGTCGTCCATCATTGAAAAGTGGTCCATGGAACGCCTGCAAGCACCCCCCAAACCTGACTCTGGCTTATTAGATGGATTTATGACGGTAAGTTAGTACTGTTTTTTTTTTTTTGTCTCATATTTTATCAAGAAACTTGGCAATATGCCTTTTAGCTTAGTAAAATCTGCCATCATAGTTGCGGTGCATGTCTGTCCTCATTGATAAACATGTATCAGCATGTGGAACTGGAGCTTTCTGTGTGTGACTATGCCTCCTATCACTGTATTAAAGAAGAACGGTGCTGTCTTTATTGTTGGATACACAGAGTAACAATGAAATGCAGCTAAAATATGAAGTTTATTCCTATTCATGTTGTTCATGTTAGTAGTTTGTGACACAAACAAAATAAAAATGTTTGATTTTTGCACCAGCAGCATTGAGAAATCTCAGAGTAGAAAGAGCAGACATACATGCTTTTTTGCTGAGGCATAAAAGGGTTAAGGTGGTATTTTCTGTTTTTCTTATTTGCTGGTTCTGTCTCAAAATGAATGCTGCAGTTGTTTCTGGATTGTCTTTTTCAATACATATTGTCACTTATTAAGGAAAATCAATGAAGGAAATAGCAGTCTTTATTGTATAATTGATGCGAAGGCATCTGATGCAGTACGCGCGCCGCACTCTTTCTGCACAAAACACAGCCTTTCCCTCGGGACCCGAACCCACAACCTCCGGGGGTGCGCTGTGTTCTGAACCTTGTGTGATAAGCAGGGCCTCTGCCTCAATGATCTAAACGCTGTCTGATATCAGCATGCTGGCAGTAATGACTTCTCTACAGCTCTCTCTCAACACTGCCTCTCTGATCTGGGAACAGCGCCAAACCGTGAACTCACCAGAGACACGGAGAGAAGCGAAACAGAGGAAGAGGCTTGGCAACAGAGCCCACTAGTGTTAGGAAATCTGCCAACATGACTGTTGTAGGTTAGAAAACAACGACATGTCTCTGGACTGCACTGGTGACCTTCTCCTTTGGAGTAGGGAAGCAGTAGTTGACCTGTCCCTGACCCTTATGGAGGATGTCTGCATGCAGGGGGTAGAAAAATAGCTCTTTGATTGGGAGCTTTGGTGTGGATATAGAATGGATTCCAGATGCAGAGACAAGGAGATTGTTAAAATAAAGGCACCGAAAGGGTTCTTTGGAAAGATGTCAAAGGAGAACCAGTTTTAGTCTCCTGAAGGACCTTTGAATAAATCATTCATTAAACAACTTTCTTGGTAAATGTGTGGCAGCCTGCAGAAACCCTTCACATGATAAAATTTTGATGTTTTATGTCTTGGAAAAAGGTAACTCTCACAAACATATTGTGTTTTGAATTTTATAACATTTCAATCAGCTACCAAGTTATGAAAATCCACAACTCTACTGCATTCCATCAAGGTTCTGTTTTATCAGAAGGCACCAAGCCACAATTTGATAGAAATAAAACAATCTGTTATTGTATTTATGGACCTTTCAACACCTGTAGACATTTATTAGCTCCTTTATTAGTCATATTTAACCAACCGTCACATGAATTTCTTTGTTAACTTGATAATCTTTCTTCTTCTTTTTCTGTGAAAGTGAAAGAAAGGGGATAGTAAACCAGACTAGGCTGCTAACCAGTTCTTTGCCTCACTTATTTATGAAAATAGAAAAAAAAAAAAAACGTTAAACTCAACCTTCTAACAAATAATGAATCACTTTCCAGAAACTGCAGAAAATACACAGAAAGTTGTAAAATAGACATCAGCGACATCCGATGGGATTCTGCAAACCACCACACAAATGAGATGTACAAGTGTGAAGAACATTTTTAAAGTTTAAAGAGCCTCCACATAATACAAAGGTTCAATACCAATTAAAGATTTTTCCTACAACCATAAATCCAAGCCAAGGACCATTTAGGAACCTTTTTTTTTAAAGAGTGTACCAAATCACAGTCATGCTGAGATGAAGACCCAACAGGAGTTGCAATAAGGTGAATTCTCTCGTGACATTTTAAACAAAAGTCAATTAGAAGTTGAAAGTCTATGGATTAGCTGATTCAGCCATGTCATCGCGCATACACACAGTAACTCTTATAGAGTAATCAGTCTTTACTTGTCTATAAAAAAGAGGAAAATTACTTAAGACTATCTTTCTCCTTCAAATCTGTCTTTTTTCCTACAGTAACAGTGTTAACAATGCAGTCCCAATTGTTCTATTTGAATCAAAATGTCTAGATTTACTTCTCTAGGGGTTGCAATGTGACAGCTCATCAGGAAATAATGGCATGTGTGTTTGAAGGTGGGGATTGATTAATTAGACAAATGGTAATCAGTCAGTAGCTAATGCATATTGACATGGTGAAAGGTTCCGTAAACGTTTGATTAACAGCTTCATTTGTTCACAGAATTTATAGTGCTGTATGCCTAAGTACTGGCCTGCTGCGGAGTAACTCATGGACCACAGATCATGACAAATCACTCCTTGAGGAAAACAAAGAGTCAGGGATTTTGAGATGGATTCTTTTTCCTCACCACTGTTTATTTAAAAAAGCAGAGTGCCACTGTGGAAGGCTGCTGTGAAAAGGCCTCTGTGCAGTATGAGTATGTAGCTTGAGGAAAGATGAGACACTGGAGAGAAGAAGCTGGTACTCTGGAATTTGAAGGAGATTTGGGTGAGTCTGCCCCTTTGATTGGTTGAATTTCATCTTAAAATGAAATTACATATTTCACAGGTAGCTTTGTCGTTCATCAGTTATTTATTTTATTTATTTATTATATATTCTTGCCACATCTGTAAAGTTAAGCTCATGTCTGGTCAGAGTGTATGCAAATTTGACTTTAACCTTCTTTTAAGGTTAAAATGTAAATGTAAATGAAATATAATCATTAATGTGAAAAAGTATTCTGTGACCAGGGGTATTTTTCATGGGGGACAGCCAGTGGCTCATGAGCCTGCTGAATGCTTTCTTTTTATTGGGAGACATCTGGGCTATATCATATGTATGAGGTAGTAGAGGGCATTGTACCGGTTCATTACTGTTACATCATTACTGTTACACCAATACGCCACAAATAAACATAGATAACACAATGAACATACAGTATAATACAAGCCAATGCCCTCACCTTCCTTTGAAGGAGCAGATATTAAATGTAGTCTGGTGGTCAACCAGAGGAGGATGGGTTGCCCTTTTGAGTCTTGGTTCCTCTCAAGGTTTCTTTCTCCTTTTCTTATAGGGAGCATTTTCTTTTCACCGTCGCCTTTGGCTTGCTTATCGAAGCTTGGACCTGTTTTAAGCTTTGTGACAGTTTCATAGGCTCCGCAGCTTCTTAGCAAATACTGGTTAAGTGAATGGCTTGTAATATTTACCACATTCCAGCTGTGTCTGATGCTCACAGATGACAGCTTGAGTGTAAGAGATGCACATGAGACAGATGATGTGAGAAATTCAGACATAAAACAGGCTTTAACTGTTTTACTGTTTTTTGCTGAGGCTACTGTGTGCTTACATGCACTTACCTTCATCTTGTTAGGGTTAGAGAGAAACATTGGTATTTGTCTATGTATTGTTCAGTTCTATTTTTACTATTTTGCCTAATAAAAATATTTTAGATGTACTTCAGTTGTTAAATGTGGTTCACATTAAAAGTGATAGGACATCCCAGAATAATATGCCATTGTTCATCTACAAAAATAGGTTTGCTTCAAATCACTTCGTATTGTTTCCAAGCACCTGAAGCTGATTCATCAGTTGACTCAAATCAGTACTTATTTATTTTTATTTACTTTTAGCCAGTCCTCTCCTCAACATTAGTTGTTACCAATTATGAACAACCTAGCATGAAATCTAACATGTCTTTCCTTCGCCATGTAGCGCACGTTTCCGAGTTGCTGCTCACACAACTGAGGAGGCAAATTAAATGTGATTCAATTCACTAAAATTGTCTTGATTGACAAGAGAGAAGAACTAAGCCCCTATTCCCATCCAAAGAAAGCATTTGAGGTTAATATCTCTGTCCATGTCTGGATTATCTCACATTCTACAATATGTTCATTTTTGTTTTTAAGACAGAGGGACTTTACCATTTAATCTTGTGATTTCTGTTCCTTGATAAGGCTGTTACTAACAGTTGTTTGCGTGCACTGGCTTATGAAATCTAATTCTGCACCTTTTCTTTGTGCAATAATTAATCTTCCTTTGGAGAAACCCTGCCCCAAGTCGAGGCTTAACATGCATAATGAAAATGACCTAACAAGCTCCTCAGGCTCATTAGCATAATTTCTCTCCTTACTAATTGCTTTAGCTTCTGTCTGATTTACTTTGAGAGAGCTAATTTTTTAGCGGATTCAGAAAACACTCAGTCGGGGCTGGAGTCCCAGCTCCTTGTGGAGAATCTCTGTTAGTAGAGGGAAAAATGAGAGCGAAAGCTCTGTTGTTTATGTATTATATTTATTTAGTTATTTGTTTGTTTTTTACCTAATGGTCAGGGTCAATGGAATATTGACCAGTGTTAATGATGCTACAATATTAAGGGCTGAACAAGGTTTCCCAACTTTTTTCTGTGTGTTTTCAGTTTTTCCCTGTTTAATTATCTCCTTCATCTGTGCAATGAATGTGGAGAAAATCTGGAGAAAAGACTGCATTCTTTTCACTTTTCCGGGGTACACAGTGGGTGGCTGCATATGTAGAGACAGCGAGAGAGAGAGGAGAGAGAGAGAAATGCTGTGAGATTGAGAGACAGATATAGAACTGCCTTCCAGTCTCTATAGCCCTCGGCTCAGTGCCTTGTGTTGATGGACCTGTCTGTCACTGTGTCTCACAGGAGATCTCCCTGAATGGCAGCGCTTGGTGGGGAGCAGGCAGCGAGCTGCGGGGCAAGCAGTGACCCTCAGCGCATCCAGCTCGAGCTCTTCTTTAAGCTTACCCTAACACATGACCCGCTGAACCAAACTCAGCCTCGCTATCTTTCCTTAGTATTGGTGAAACTGTCAATACAAAAACCGACGCTCACTTTGCCTGCTTCAATCACTACATATCATATTAACATTTACATTCACTCGTCTAGCAGAAACACTTATA